GTATTGGTGGTGTACTGAACAGGCTCTGACGTGGCCGAATGCTGATGGTCCCGATCTCATTGTGGATGATGGTGGTGATGCTACTCTGTTAATCCACGAGGGTGTGAAGGCTGAGAAGGCGTACAGGGAAAGCAAGATTATCCCTAATCCCGATGCGGAGAGTAATGCCGAGTTCAAGTGTGTTCTGACAATTCTTAAGGAGAGCCTCGAGCGTGGTGAAGTCGATAAGTGGACCAAAATGGCAGCGAAGCTCGTTGGTGTCAGCGAAGAGACGACTACTGGTGTTCATCGACTTAACTCGATGGCCGCGGCTGGTACTTTACTCTTCCCAGCTATCAATGTTAACGATTGCGTGACGAAGAGCAAGTTCGATAATGTGTATGGGTGCAGACATTCTCTTCCGGATGGTATTATGCGAGCTACTGATGTCATGATTGGTGGTAAGACTGTTTTCGTTGCTGGCTATGGTGATGTGGGTAAAGGATGTGCTGTTGCTATGAAAGGCTGTGGTGCCAAGGTTTTGGTTGGCGAGATCGATCCTATCTGTGCCTTACAGGCTTGTATGGAGGGGCTCACTGTCACTACTATTGAGGATGCAATATCCAAGTACAATGCCGACATTTTCATCACGGCTACTGGTAACAAGGACATTGTCACGCTCGAGCACATGAAAGCTATGAAGAACAACGCCATCGTTGGGAACATCGGGCATTTTGACAATGAGATACAGATGGAGAGGTTGGAGAACTGTCCTGGTGTCAAGTGCATGAACATTAAGCCACAAGTTGACCGCTTCGAATTCCCTGATGGCCACGGCATCATCATGCTTGCTAGCGGTCGTCTGCTGAACCTCGGATGTGCCACAGGTCATCCTAGCTTCGTTATGAGTTGCTCATTCACCAATCAGACCCTGGCTCAGTTAGAGCTATGGGAAAACCGAAACACGAAGTATGCGAAAGGGAAGAAACCCGGTGTCACCCTATTGCCCAAGGTTCTGGATGAGAAAGTTGCCAGGTTGCACCTCCCAGCTCTCAATGCCAAGCTGACTCAACTAACTCCAGAGCAAGCA